TCTGTGGAAGTACAATAAATATATATTAAACAAGTATCATAAACACCCTAATTACAAATGAAATCAAAGGCGAAAGTGAAAAGAAATTGGGTCAAAGCTCAAATTCAACTCCTTGGTCTCGGTATAGAGCCATGCATGCTCTTGAATACCCGACGAACAAGTCAGTCGTATGAAAATCGTAAGTTGCGAACAATTCAAACATAAGAACAGAGCTCAGTCGTGTATGAGAGAAAATACGTTGAAAACGATTTATAAGAAAGCAGTGTTCCACAACTTTGATAACATATAACTCAGAAAGAATTGACGACTAGTCACATCTCTTATAGTACATTATGATGCATTTTAGCCATGATTTTGGTGAACAGTCATACAATCAATATTAACACAACAGAAATAATAAAGATCTAACTATACCGGAGAGGAAGTAAAGAAATTTGATTTAATAATTCCATAAAGTTTTGTCCATTATATTTGTATTAATTAATAACTTGAATCCAATAAAAATGATGAAGAAAATAATATTTAAAAAAAAAAACAAATAAATAAATAAAAGGTGCTCCCTTTCCTCTGTGTCAGCGGTAATAAGATCCCATAGTGGGCGCTCTCAAAACATCCCACGAGCTTTACAACTCGCTCTTCCAAACCTTCCGCTCTCCCAAAATCCCATCTCTCTGCGCAACATGGCACTCGAAACCTGGCTCAGTAAGGTCAAGAACGCCGTCTCCAACAAGTTCGATGTGGTTCGAACCTCATCGTTAACCACCCTCAACACCCAACCCACCACCACCGCCTCCACCAAGAAATCCCCAAACGTCGGCGTTTTGGCGTTTGAGATTGCCGCCCTCATGTCCAAGCTTTTGCATCTATGGCAGTCGCTCTCCGACACCCACATTATTCGCCTTCGAAATGAGTCTCTTTCGCTCGAGGGTGTCCATAAAATCGTCTCCAACGATGAGCCCTTCCTCCTCGGCCTCGCCTGCGCCGAAATGACTGAAAATCTTCGACTTCTTGCTAACTCTGTTTCCCGTTTGTGTATTAAATGTAACGACGCCGATCTCCGGTCCTTCCACCGCGCCTTCGACGACTTCGCCGACTCCGGCCGCGATCTCCATAACTGGGTATGTTAAATCACCACTCAACATTTGGGTATTTTTCATCTTTTATGGTTAACATGGTATTGAATCATACCCTTAATTTAGTTAGGTCACTAGAATCCTCGAACAAAGAAATTGATTTGAGGGCTATTGATTAAGGAGTCAGGGAGATTGTTCGAGGGTTTTGTACCTTATTGGAGGAGAGGATTGTTGGAGAGGTTGTTCGAGGGCAGGGGAAAGCTTTATGGGGCTCGAAGTGGCTTAGAGTCGTGATTTCTAACGGGTTACATTTTGATTTACAGATATTGAACGAGAAAGAAATGGAGTGCAGGAACAAGAGGGTGGAGAGATTAGTTACAGTCACGGCGACCCTCCACAGAGAAATGGATGAGCTATCAGTAATGGAAGCTGGTTTGAGAAAAGCTGTAGCAAATTTGCAGTCATGTCAGCAAGAGAACAGTTCGCCATTGGAGCAGAAGATCATCGATCTTCAACAGAGGATCGTTTGGCAGAGACAAGAAGTGAAGTATTTAAAAGAAAAATCCCTTTGGAACAGAACATTCGATACAGTGATGTCAATTCTAGCAAGATCAGTTTTCACAACTCTAGCCAGAATCAAATTTGTTTTTGGTTTGGGTCAATTTCCTTCGTCTCTCCCACGTAGCCTCTCCGCCTCCGCCGCCGTCCACCCACTCAAGAACTTAAACGACAACGGCAAGGAATTTCCGGTGAGTAAAAATGCATTTTTTGAACCCAATTCCAAACTCCTGAAGCCGCCCATGTCCACTTTAGGGGCCACGGGGTTGGCCCTGCATTATGCCAACTTGATCATAGTCATGGATAAGATGATCAAATCGCCTCAATTGGTGGGCGTGGATGCTAGAGATGATCTTTACTCGATGCTACCGAATAGCGTTCGGTCGGCGTTGAGAGCGCGGTTGAGAGGGGTCGGTTTCACGGCGAGCGATCCGTCGTTGGCCGGGGAATGGAGGGAGGCGATGGGGAGGATATTGGAGTGGCTGTCGCCAATGGCACAGAACATGATAAAATGGCAAAGTGAAAGGAGCTTTGAGCAGCAAAATTACATGGCGCCAAAGACGAATGTGATGCTTTTGCAGACGCTTTATTTTGCTAATAAGGATAAGACAGAAGCTGCCATTACAGAATTGCTTGTGGGGTTGAATTATATTTGGAGATTTGAAAGGGAAATGACTGCTAAGGCCTTGTTTGCCTGTAACAACTTCATTGTCACATGAAAATGGGAGGAAAAAAACCATTTTTCTTGGGAAATTCTCATTCATTATCTGAACGCTTCTGTTGTATATTTTATCATACAAAGTGTATGTAAGAATCAAAAGATGGAAGGAAAAAAGTGATATAGTTTTTGTTGGTTTATGGACTCATGTCGTGTTATTTATTTATGGACTCCGTACCGGATAGCGGGTGTATGATCCGACCTCTGATACATGGGCTCGAGCGCAATATCAACACACTTATTGTCCTTGAAAGACCTATTTTTAAAGAAAGTTGCCTGAGACACTCGTCCTTCCCTATGACACACGTATGTGCCAGAGGTGGTGAAAAACACTATGCCTAGGATATATTTTGAGACATTTTCAATCCTATTCAAGTACAAGTTATTTTGGCGAAGGGTCATACGACATCATGTAGCATTCATCCGGTGTTTGATTGACACCACATTTAGCATATTTCATATGGACTGACTTGACTTGAGAACCACATACCCAAATTCTCATTCAGAACCTTGACTTTTGAGGTTAAGGCTCGAGGTCCTACTTGACCCTTCAACAAGCCTATCTTTGACACTCGTGTCTACTCATGACCCTTATCTTGCTTATGACTCGCTTTCTCTTCAATGCCTACTCCTGTGTGGTGTGTTAAATGATGTATCGTCCTTGTCGGTCACATCACGACACTCACCCAGGCCTTCGCGTGGCCGGATGAGCGCCACTTGAGGGTCGCTGTTTTGGTTGTCGCAACATGAGGGCCCACTCTATGTAGTGTGTTAGGTGATACACTGTCCTTTCTCAATTCGGGGAAAACATTCAAAGAACAAGGTAGAAAGAAAGACAAGATGGCGTTGAAAGTTTATAAACCAAGCCAAAGGATGGTCGGTCGCATCATGACACTCATCTCAACCCTCACGTAGTTGGATGAGCGCCACTTGAAGGTTGCCGCTTTAGAGATAATATACCATCTTCCTCAGTCGCATCATGACACTCATCTAAGCCTTCGCATAGAGTGCCACTTGAGGGTCACCGCTTTAAGGTCGTCGCTTTGCTTGTCGCAACGTGAAGGTTACAACTTTCTCCCTATAAGATAGTTGTGTAGCCATTTATAGAAATAAAATAAATTAATAAATTTATGATTGAACATTTTATTTATTTATTTATTTTTCAAATAGATGTTCAATTTATCTATATTTGAAACAAGTGCAGCTTTAATCATCCATGACAAAAAAAATAAAAATAAAAATAAAAATTAATTCAACTAAAAAGATTAATTTGAAAAGTAATTAATGAAAAAATATGTGCAAAAGATCAAATAATAATTAAATTTAGCGAAAACTAAAAACTAAAACTCTGATTGATTCTATACTCTATATTCAAGCTTGTCGCCCTTGATTTCAATCATCTGTCTTCCCAATCTCTCTCGCTCCACCGTCTTCGTATCGAAGTGGCATCCATGTTTATCCTCAAATCTATGCATACGGCAAAACAAACCACCGCACCTGCACGAAAACCCTAACAATCCGACCTTCTTGTTGCAGAGTCCGCATCTGTTTTTTCTCGCCGGCGCTTTCGAATCGGTTTCTGGACAACTCGGATTCATCGCAGTTTCCGATTCTGAAACTTCAATGCTCTCCAAATCCGATTTGAGCGAATCGTCGGAGTCCTGTCGCCGTTGAGCAACTTCATCGGGTTTCGTTGGGATTGAAATCAGATTTTCTTTAAGAAAAGCAGCGTAGCAGATGGAACACAAGTTGCGAGTCTTCGGATTTCCAAAGAAGCCACAGTTATTGGCGCAGAGTGGTGAGTCGTTCGAATTCTCTGAACCTCCGAAACCAGCCATTTGATCTTCTTGTTCTTCTTCTTCTTCGTTCTTTCTTGTTCTTGATTTTGGTGGTGATTTTGATGTTTGTGTGTTGATTTGGAGCAAGGGCGGAGTCGATTATATAGAGAAATCGGCATGAAAAGATTACTAAAAGAACATAGGAATTGGAATCAATAGATTTGATCTTAACTATCTGAATCGAAAATTTGATGTTTATTTTTTATCTTTTTTATAACTATTCCCTAATCTAAGAGAGTTCAAATATTTTAAAAGTACTTCTATAATTTTTCAAATCAATAAATATTTTGACGCTAAATTATTTAAAATTGAGAGTTTTAGATTATTTTTAAAAAATGCCACTTAATTGGGCCGGCCCACTAAAACATTTTGGTAACCGGAATTGGTTGTTTGACGCTTGTTTGTCGATGTTGCGCACAATGATTTTGCACCCCCCGATTGCTGTGTGTGAATAGTTGATTGTTACCCAAGCTCGTTTTAGCATATGACGCATGAGTGATGATTTAGTTGTCTGGGTAGACATAAGCTTGAGGCTCGGACATCAAACTGTTGGCGTCAGCTCCTCATTAATGTATCACAAAGTATTGTGAGCAACCATAGTCTATCGATTCATGCATCAATTATCCATCGATTCTTGCATGCATTGAGTCTCGTTAGTCCCTTTCTATCCGCTCCCCTCCTGCTCCTAGAGAGTATTTTAACTTGAAAATTAAGGACAATTGAATTGGCTCAATGGCTGCATGCAGCAAGCAATAGCCTGTAGTTCTGAAGGCAGGAGAACCAAAAAGAAAATTAAAGGGAAGGAGACAACAATGGAAATAAAATGGCCAATTAAATATTTATTAAAAGGGAAAAAAAAAAGTTAAGAATTGGAAATAATTACAAAACTAATATGAATTCTCCTAACCCAAATTCCTACTTTTAAAAAAAGAATACATCACGGCCAATTACAAACTGCAACAAAGTAGATGAACTCCAACAATTTCTGAAGCCAAATGGTTGTGATCAGAGAGCCAAACCAGGATGTTCTATCCCATGTTTGATTAAACCAACGGGAAGAAGGCAGTTTTGGTTCTTCAAAATTTCAACCCAGCTTCTGGTTTTCTTTATAGGAAGCTATGAAATGGGCTAATTGATCTGATCATAAAAGCAAGAAAAAAATGCTGGTAAGATCACTGACATTTTCCTGTTGCAAGAATTAAAGATGGAGGACAGACATGTCTCAACTTCCCAACTTCTTGGAACTCAACATCATTTCATCAAACCTTTCCAGGGTAAGAGAGAATGATGATCATAAAAGACGCCCAATATGAACACAGAACAATGATGTCAGTCTTGAGCCTGAAAGAAATTAACATCTGCTCCCAAAAGAAAGGTTTTTGTCATCTGAAATTCTAGGGTCGATTTTCTATTTCAACAGCTAAAGCCAAACAAGAACTCAACTGGGAGATTTGCACGTAACAGCCATTTTTCTAATCCGTTCTATAACGATCAATAAATCCTCTCGTGAAAGTGTAGTGAAACAACATCTAAACCATCCAGGTTCTATGCAATGACAAGCAGATCCAGGAGTCGCGTTAATTTTAGCTACATTCAGCAGCTTCTCCCATAATTCTAGCTCCCCTTTCTCACTATAAGAATTCATCAGTCCACTCATATCAGCCCAGCAGTAAAAACCAGCACTGCTCTTTGCACACTTAATTCCCAACTGTTTCAAACCAGCAACGAAAAGAACATGCATCTCGCGAATTCTCTTTTTGCTCGTCTCCAGGTATTCATTAACGAAGGTTCTGTCCGAAAGCATCAAGGTAACAAGCTGCTGGGTTGGAGCGGAAATCGGGCAAAATCTTGTCATTTTTCTAGCAGCAGCCAAAACATTTTCATTTTGTGAATAGATGACACCAACTCTAAAGCCAGGAAGAGAGAGGTCTTTCGACAGTCCATACACTATATGAACTCTATTCTTGTCAATATCTTCTGAATCAATCATTTCAGCCATGCTCACAAACTCGTCGTTTCCATAAACTGACCCTGCAAATATCTCATCGGATACAACATGGATATTCTTCTCTTGGGCAAAATCTAAAATACTGTATAGCATTTCTCGGGGCAACATGTTGCCAACTGGATTTGCAGGGTTAGATAAGAGAACTCCCCGAACTTTTATTCCTCGTTTCCTAGCTTGATTGTATGCTTGCTCTAGTACAGTGATGTTCAAGTTAAAGTTGTCAGCACTACGACAGTGAACTGGTATTAAATCAACTCCAGTTCTCCACTTCACATCTCTATCAAAACTGCATACAACTTTCGTAATTAATTATCGCATACCTGGGTATCTAAACTGCTTTTTGTGACGACGTTTTTTTTTTTTTTCAAAAAAATCAAATGTAGTTTAGGAGCTACTAACCCAGGATAATAAGGAGTTGGAATAAGAAATGCATTTCCAGGGTCTGCTAAGCAGAAACAGAGTACCTCGACCGCGGCAGTGGCACCAGATGTTAACAATAATTGTGATGGATCAAAAGCCACTCCACCACCCATTACCTGAGACATGAAACCTGCCATAGCCTACAGTAATTGAATTGATTTCAAGACAAGAACCTGGAACTGAATGCTTAATAACTTTATAGTACTGATTAAGAAAGTAATACAACAAAAGTAATATTCAACATGAAAAAGGGAATATCACAAGTTTAAGGAAGTTCAAACAGCAATCCACTTCTTGAATAAGGCAAAAGGACAAAGAACTGTCATGTCACCAATAAATCCTAGGTAAGAGCAATACGATTGATTAAGAAATAAAGAGCAATATGGCTTAACCTTTAAGATTCCAAGCTTTTAATATCTCAATACATACCCAAGAATATGAGTTCAGCTTCAGCATCAGTTTTAACTTTTAACTTTCATTACATTGAGCCCTTCAAAGCCCTTTAAACAGTAATGCAGCTATCAGGAAAAGAAAGCAGGACATGGATAACAACATATATTGCATTTCACAGATGAGTTTTGGATCGTAAACTTCAGAGCTTGTGGAGAGAGAGGAGATTAGACACGAACGCAGACATTGTAATATCAATTTCAAGACACTTGGGCAAGTTAAGCCACATTCATTTTCACTCCGGGACTAAACATTCCAACACTAGGGAATCGAGAGCTTAGAGCCAATATGCGTTTCCACCAAAAGAATAGCTGAAATAGACAATCAAAATAAATAAATACCATTTTCAGCTCCCACAATCCATCGAAAGGCTGGTAAGTGGCCATCCCCATAATATTCAACTCGACGTTATTGCCTCCACCAACGGAACCAGTATAATTCTCCGATATCCATTTCTCAAGCAAATCAAAGCACAACTTCAAGCATAGAAAACAAAATAACAGAGTATTTAAAAAAAGGAAAAAGAAATTAAATCTCAATTTGAAGAACAAAAGAGTTCGAATCAAAATAGAAACAGTACCCTATTCTCGGACAACCCAAGCTGAATAATCCCATTCGGATTATCCAACCTATCGTAAGGATCCTCCCGAACGCGATCCAATCCAATATAGTAGGGGCAGTTATTGGGCTTCGCAATGGAACTGGCTCGAGAAGAAAGGCGAACTCGACCAACGGATCCGCGCGTGAGTAGATTAGAGCGAGAGGACGAACGGTTGAGGTCGACGAGGTTAGAGGAAGAGTGAGAATGGGACGGAGAATTCGAGGAGGAGTCAGAGTTGGGAGAACGATTTCGCTTGAGATAAAGTTGGAGGAAGTAGAAGAGAGCACAGGGAATGAGAGAGCCCAACAAGAGACCTCCACGGCCTTGGACAACGCCTTGCAGAGGCACCACAAGCCTCATGACGGTGACTCCGCCGCGCTTTCAGATTTTCGGTATCAGAATTCGAATCTGAGCCCGAGCTCCAGGTCGTAGGTGGCTCACCGGAGACGCAGGTGGACGCCCGGCAGCGGAGGAGAAGTGAGGAAGTGATGGCGTTTTCAATTTGATTGGTTTGGGTTTGGCAGATGAGCTTAAGGTTGGCTGCCGCTGAAATGCCGTGAGTGACCCAAATCTATTTTTTCTTTTCTTTTTCATTTATTTATTTATTAACCAAAATTGTAAGGCGAGAGTGGAAGGGAACCTAGGAATCTGGATCACGGAGATGAGTAGTACCTCTAAATGACCGAAATACCCTTGGAAGTTTATTGTATGAATTATTTAATTATATGAATTAACATAATATATACATTTTTGTCCACTTTATTTTTATCATTTTTTATGGATAACATATTGACGTTTTAACGCAATTAATTATGAGTTGACTAAAAAGAAACATTTAACGCAATTAATTAATGTTTAATTTAAACATTTAAATTAAAAGACTGCCATGTCTATTTTCGGTAATTGATTTGATTCAATAATATGTCCAAAGTAACCCCTCAACAACACATATGAGAATTCCTATAATTAAATTAAGATTTCCTTGATATTTACAGCTGTGCCACAGAACGAACTCTATTTTCCTTTGTTTGTTTATCATTCACTCCCAAAACATTTCTACAATTACGAGAACCCAATGGAGAAACACAACTAAAGGGGGCATCCTATGAAAGAATGAATCTGCAAAACCATTCATCCATTAAGGCTCAGAAATCAGCTCTGATATTCACACACACACACAGGGAGGAGGAGGGAAGATGATGGGTAGTCGTAGTAAGTAGACTGACTGTGTTTAATTTGGAGGAGTCATCACAACATTCTGTTATGTGCTTCAATCATGGATGTTTTCTCCTGCACATAGCAAAAGGAAGGGGAAATGGAAGTAAATAATAATGAACCAATCTCTTCCCAACCAAAACACACTTTGAATAACAGAGACAGAGACAGAGACAGACAGAGACAGAGACAGAGAGAGACCTCGCTTTGAATGATGTTTTCAGAGGGGAACCAATGCATGAGAACCCCTAAATTCAGCACAGCAGGTACCAATTTGAACACAAGAGGGGTGGTCACTAGACTAAGTGCTGTTGTTCCAAGAAGTAGCAGATAAACTTTCCCCTGCGTTAATTTTATAAAGTAAGATAATCGTAAACTTCAGTAACGAATCAAATAAAACTGATAATCGATTGTTCGAGATGCATAACGGAGAGAAATGAAGATGTTCTATTGGGGGAGGGAACCACTGTTGCAAGAACACTATTTAAATGCCAGAGACCCATTACTACATCAGTGTTGCTTGAGACTTCACACTCAAAACTAAAAACGTGCTATGTGAAGGCATACTATCATCATATTTTGCCTGTGTGCGCACAAGATATGAGAAAGCTATATGGATGCATGCATTCATACATACATATACAAACATATATATATATAGAGAGAGAGAGAGGGAGAGAGAGAAGAAACCCCAATGAGATGAAGATTTGAGGCACGGCTTAGGAGAACAAAAGCAAACTCTCCAATTTGAGCAAGCATGACTCCAACCTAAAAGTGAAGGTAAATAACAAGATTAGAAAATCATGAAATTAAATTCTTCAGGAAAATCAGTTTCTAATAGGCCTACCTGAAAAGAAGTCCTTATACTGTATCCAAATGCCTTTGCAACAACGGTAACAACTGCTGTCTTCACAAACACAACCAGCATGACAGATGCTAGCAAAATATCCAAATGGCTCCACAGAAAATGTACATGAATGAGCATTCCAATACTCGAAAGGAACAAAGCTGCAAATAAATTGCGAATTGGTTCCACCTAAAAAGCAAGAGATAGTCAAAACTATTTAAACATTCATGCCAATTTAATAGCTCAATCTAACGAAGGAATATGCCACAAGGCAAGCACTACCCAAAGAACTGGGAGTATGCATTGTAATTGGAGTACCTGATCTAAAGTATGTTGACCAAAGTCGGTGGTAGATATCATAACTCCAGCTACAAAGGAACCCAACTCAAGACTGAGTCCCAACTTATCACTGCACTGAAAAAGGTTAAAAATACACAAGTATTAAATCGATTTCAATAGGAAAATACAAAGCAATATACTGCAGTTTATGTCTTTGAGGCCTCTAATCCAACATTCACAATCACATATGCAGCAACTTCTTAATCCATTACAAAAATTCAAAATTTTCATCATGCTCATAAATGATCAGCTTAACTTTTAAGCTTCAGTGTTTAAACTCAGACATCATCTATGATCCTTTTTTATAATGAAACACTACGAATAGTCAAATTTAACAATGTTGGGACCATCGACTAATGATCAACTATGAGCAATCAAATTAATTTTAGAGTGATGCTTATTGGCTCAAAGGCATCATTGATCAATCCAAAAGGACAGAAAAACAAAGTAAAAAAACTAATAAATAACTCCACAATAAGAAAAAATCAACTCTTTAAAATAGGTGAATCAATTAGTGCCCAGGGCACGGAAATAGACATATGGCTTTACCCAGGCAGACAGCAAGCAAAATGCCACAGCAGCAAGCTGATACAACTCATTTGTCTGAATCACAGGGAAAAAAAAACGATAAGCTTGCTAATCAGTCCAAAAACAAAGCTAAGGAAAGGACCCAGCTTAATGGCTCACTTGAGACGACAGCTGCATCATCAACTTAAGAAAGCGGGGAACAAATGACCACGACAAAATGGACGCGACTGTGAGATATACTGACAACACCAGTAGCCTGCAAACAGTGCACATTATAAGCACACAAAACATCTATAAGAAAGCTCAGGGTCAACAAACAAAGCAAGAAATAATATTTAAAAGGTCGAAGGCACACAGATTACTTACAACTTTCCCATAGATATCATTCCTAAAATAAGACCATTGTGACCACCCAAAACTGGGAGCAAGGCAAATAACAAACCAACGGCACAGTCCTGAATAAATCAGGATAGATATATAAAGATACAGCAGAAACTCAAGACCTCTATCCAATGTAAATGCTATTTTTAAGTATAAATAATCCAAAAGAATGACGGGGGCAGAATAAAACCTGTAAGATAAGCGTTCCAATAGTAACCTGACCATGAAGAGTATTACTGCTATTCCGTTCTACCAAGAACTTCACCACCTAATAAAACATTAAGAAAATTATAATTCCACGCACATGCTGTTCAGTGATTTCGGGTGAGCTAAGGCATAACAGATGGTTCATGCAGTTAGAAACTGTTATAAAACTTACCACTGCTGTCGATGACATTGATAGAAATGAACCGACAAATACACCCTCGGACAATTTAGCTCCACTTAACTGCATAAATGGCAAAAAAATGTAATGACCGCTGACATCTAGGCAGGTGTTCAGCCTCACTCTACCAACAAAAAAAAAAAAAAAAATAGAGATTTAGATATTACCATGGCAATTATGCCACATAAGAACATAAATATGATGATCTGTAGAAAACCTCCAAAAACAGCAACAGCCCCCACAACTTTTAACTGCATGAGAACATTATGTATAAATCTAGCTTTCTAAGACGGAGAAAATTGAACACATTTATTGAGTAAAGAAATAAAACTTTCAAGTAATGAATATTACCTTTGTCAAAGAAAACTCCAGTCCTAAAGCAAAAAGAAGAAATACAACACCAAATTGTGCCACTGTCTCAACCTGAGACAAAACCTATGCTTTTAAGCATTGATAGAATTTCAAACATCTACAAGGGGCTTTTATTGGATGCATTCAAATGTACAAGAATGCAATTACTCGTTATATACATGTTTGAAGAGGATAGATTTTATTTATATTTCAAAACTACAGAGATTCATTACAATGTGCAAAAAGGAGGAATCATAAAAATTTTGCACAGGAATGAGGGAAATATAGGGGAAGGGCGGTGATTCAAGAGTGGTGGCAAAAAAAAATTTCCGTTGCAGCAGAAAAAGCTTTAAAATTTTCTTATAGAAAAAATGAGATGGAAGTGGTGAGATCAGAAATAATCTTTTAATGCAGCGCAAAAGCATCAATTTTTATGGCCCATAAATAATTGGAAGTGTTACACCACAATGAATTTTACAGAATACCAATAATATCTTAATTTTTAAGTTGATTTATAAAGTTTAAAGTACCCATTTAAACTATATCATTCAATTAATATTCGATCCATCGCCAAATGACATAATTTAAGCATTTAAGCATCGCAGCAGGAGGACATTGTGCTATATAGATTAAAATCAGCAAGAATTAGTTAAAGCATATCCATTGCTACATGTATGAACAAACCTGCACCATTTCACTGATGAATTTTAGACCTCCTGGTCCAATAATTGACCCCGCAAGAAGATAGCCCACAATAACCTACATATAGTACAACAAATTTGTGATACTACTTTGCATACATTAGGTAGTGGACAATGCAATAAATTATTTTGAGCAGTAAGAGAAGTGAAATAGGTATTAAAAGAAAAAAAAAAGAATGCAACACCAACCGGTTGGCCTAAACAAGAAAAGATAATTCCTCCAATTGCGGCAGAAACAATAACCACAACCAAGTCTGAAATCAGTCTGCAAGAGGGGAATACGTGGAGCATGAAACATATCTCAACGACTTCAGCATAATTTTTTCTAGTGCAGCAAATTCAGAATGGGAAAGATAAAATCCAACCTCAAATCTACTTGAAGTACTGGATACTTTGATTTCTTGTTTGACATCACAAATACATTGTCCTGCAATCATGCAAGATAGACAAATTAACACTAAAAAAGACAAGGAAATCATACATTGTCAGTCGTAGGAATTAGTGTAGTTATCTTTCCCCCCGAAGTGTGCATGAGTTTCATTCAGCAACAGATACTAAGACCTATTTAGAACTTACTTTTTTATCAATCAACGTCGTAACATCATCAGATTCTTCATTTTCTAGAGAGAAAACATCCTGAAATTGGAATGCTCTAGTCCCACTGTCCAAAAACAGAAGCTAGCAAGTGAGAAATTTGTAGGAATAAAGTGCATGTAAGGATAACTCCAAAAGAATTTAGCAGACTGTATATAATAGAACAATTCAGAAATAAGAACAAAAGCAACTGTTTTGGTTCCATACTTTGCCTTTTGACTATCATTTTTCTTGCCCTTCTCATGAGTGATTTTGGCTACTGTCTCCAGTTCTGCCTGTAGATATAAGAAGTTAAGAGTATCTGACATTTGAGAAGTCAAATAATTTTTCAATAATATATCTCAGAGATGAGTTACAGTTATATTGGGAGTTGTTAGCAAAGATCTCAAAGACAAACTTCTCTAGCAAATAAACTTATCGAAATCTTATAAGACAGGAAGGGGACTTGACTGAAATTTAATCATGGAGAGCCAAGTTTGACAACAGTTCTAGAGCATATGATAACAATTGCTAAATACAACATGCCACAAACAAATAGTAGATTGTAGACTAGAGAAGATATCTTTCAGGATCTCTACATCTTGAAAGTCCAAAGAAAAATGAATACTGTCGTTGTCTCAAATGCATTTCCCACACAACCCACATTGGAGACATGAACAGAATTCCAAGCAAAATAAGAAAAAAAGGCCGAAAACTAACATGAAGAGGTCTAAACATATTTCAAGCTTTATTTATTTCATAGATATAAAACCAACCTCCTGATCAGCGACACTGTTATTAAAGCTGCTTCCGCCCGAACCTAGTAAAAGTCAGAGGTACAATCAAATATTAATTGAGCAGCTAAAAGTTGAAGAAAATGCAACACAGAAAACGTTACATAATTTGATCCCTAAATAAATGAATGAACGGCCTATGAAAGAATTGAAAAAATAGAGAAATTAACAGTCTGGTTCCACAAAGAAAGTAAATTACAAAGCAAAAGGCCAAATCTACGTTTCACAGATTTCATTTTAAAATTTTCATGCATAGTCAATAGAATAAAAGACAAGACACTAAAGAAAATAAGAAAACACCAATATCTTGTCTGGTTCCGTACGAATTTGAAAATTCTGAAATTGCTACAAGCATTAGTTTCTTTCTAAGGCCACTTCAAGTGCATAAGGTAAAGAATATCTATTTGTATTATCTTCTTGGGTAACTTAAGAGTAAGGTTTTGAAAGGTCAGAAACCATTTGTTACCCTTTCAAAAATCATAGAATTAGAACTTAAAGAACCACTCTCTCCCTCGCGGACCATATCCGAACTCTAAACACATATTTATTCTCTCACAATAATTTCTTGAATCTCTTCGTATTTCCTCTTGCTACTCGATACATGCTCATCTGCTTATCTTAGAATTGGAACATATTTGTCTCTTTATCACTTTCTTATACCACATTCTTTCCTGATACCACACACTAAACACTATCTTCCCTTTCACAACATGACCACTGTATTTCTCATCGCACTCTTTTCAATTGCAAACCTTTCCTAACTACTGTAGCTCTATACACGATCTTGACAATAAAAATGGCTTCCTCTCACAGTATACAACTCTGTAGACCACCAAACACACAAAGTTGACGTCAAAATGATCCAACACTGTAGATTTTCTCACTGTAACGTATTCCATTCTCTGGCTACTATACTCTTCCTATCTGCTTCACACTGCCTTTCTCTTCCAAAATACACAAACTCCCTCTCAACAAACAAACAAAGGCTAAAAAATTATCAAACTTTGTATGATATTCTTTCTCAATGAAAAAAGGGCTATCAATTTCCTTTTCTGTTATTCGATTTTTGCAACCAAAAAAAGTACCCAAATAAAACGGTAAACGTTTTTCTTTCTAAAGGAATGAAGATAAAGAGACCTGAAGTAGCAAGCAGAAAGGAAAAAAAGAAAAAGACTCATAATCAGAATCAAACAAATCATCAACTATATTAACTTGGACCAGTAGAAGAACGTTCTTGATGTTTCTAAGTTCAAACAAAGCATTGAAATCTTCAACTGCCCTGTTCCTAGTCTTCCATGCAAAGAAACAGAAGGGAAGGGGTGAGGGGGGAAGAGAGCTTAAGTCCCAAACCTTCAGGCAGATCATTGTCAGGGAACTCCTTCTCGAGCACCTTATCGAACATTTGGGCAATGCTACCGTCACCGGAAATCGGTGCCGTTGAGTTGATCAAGTTTCCATAAAATCTTTCCCTAATTTCCTTATCCGATCTGGCTGAGACATGAATTTGCGCAGAAATTAAAACCAGAACGATGCAAAGCCATGATCCAATTGCTCCTCCTCTTCTCGCCATAAAGAACCGATGAAGCATAACAAAAAAGAAAGCGTATGAAACAGAAAGAAAGCTCCCTTCTCAAATTTGAAAATGCTTCGACTCCATTGAGGAGAGAGGGAATACGGTTAATTTCAAGTAATCTTCAGAAGAATGAAGTAAAGTACTGGAAACTTGGAAATGAATTCGATCGATTTTGGAATAATTTCTTTGATTATTCTGTAATGGGATCTTTTTGTTCGCTGGCGATTGTTGATTGCAGTTTGAGTGGCGGGATCGATGAAGATGGTGGCTTCCGTTTGACGAAGTTGTTGCATCGCATCGTTAGGTGTGGGGCATCACACCAGAAAACTCCCATCTCACGTTACACGCTTTACTTCGCACGTGCGCTGCACCATCGGCACACATATTGCTTCACTCTTTTTAAAATTAAAAAGATATATTTTTAAAAAAATGTTAAATTTCTCAAATTTTTTTTGTAAATTGTGAATTTATCTCGTTTTGTGACATCATAAATTCATTTTTTTTTTCTTTTTATTTAAATTTTATGAATATATTAAAAACAAAATTAAAATTTTAGAGTTTAAAAGTGAAATTAAATCCTTAAAAGTCAAACTTTTATGGTTGATACAAAATACTAGTTTTTTTTTTTTTTTTTTACTTTTTTAATAAATTTAAAACGTTAAATAACGAGGATGACCATGTGAGATATTATTTTAAAAAATTACATAAAATATAATTTTATAAAAATAAAAATAAAAAAAGGTAATATAGATTACTTTATACAGGGAAAATGTTATTTATCAATAAAAGTCAACTAAGAAATCCTAATCACAAGCTGTAGATGAACAAAAATCGAGAAATACCTAGTGCTGACCATTCCCCCATTGATACGAGTATGCCGATTGTCACGGTCATACTCGTCAAGGCATGTTGCCCATGACAAACCTAACCCTTCATGTCTTTTCATATTCTAGGGTTTTACTTTTGTATTTCTAGGAAGCATGACGTTTTAGAAATATCATATCAGGCCTGTCAGACATGAAATGCCTCAAAATGTACTATAGGGGATATGACTAGTTGTCAACTTCTCCCTACTCAAGGTTATATACTATGAGTCGTTGTTATTTCTCTTTTGCTTGTTTATATAACGTCTCTTTCAAAAATCTCTCATTCGAAAATCTCTTTCTGCCCTCGTTTTCTAAAACCTTCTTTTAAAATCGAGGCCAGAGGCTCGAGCATACGTCGCTTGGCCGTAGGCGACGCAAGAACGAATTGACTTAGCTCACTTGTCGTTGGAAAATGAGTGTCGCACAATCGCAAGTCCGCTGCCATTAAAAGTGCGATTGTGACACTGATTACCCCCCCCCCCCNTTCCCCCCCCCCCCCTCCCGAACCTTACAGAGCGAGCGGGTTGCTTCTCTAGAGAAAGATGTGCTGGTTAGGCAGACCAAAAGACGACGCCCAAAGATGTTCTCACCTCCCCTATTCGGGCTGGAGTTCACTTTCAAGGTTCGAAGGGAGTGCCGAACACCGAAAGTGAAATTGCTCCTACCTACCAGAGCATCCACCAATTGCGAAATTACTTCACTATCTGAGAGGAAGTTTGAGAGAGAAAACTGATTTGCCGGAGTTTTCATCGGAGAGTCGCCGACGGAATCCATTCCCTACCAAGACCTGTACTCTGGAGCCCTTCTTGGAGTGAAGTAAGAACTCGTGTGGAGATTTCCTCCTCTTTCCTCAAGATCAGAAAGGAAACCCGCAAGGTAAGATTTCGAACTATACCTTCCAGATCTTAGATCTTTGTGTAGGAGTAGAATCATTAAGTCTACTACCTTCATCTAGGGAAGATCCGCCACTGATCTTGGTGAGGAAAAACGGACGAAACGACGAGATCTGAGAGACTATCCAAGAACGGTAAGGTTGTTACCGAACCTCTTTTCGACGCTCAAAACTCATCGTATGACTAAGCAAAAATCAAGAAAATAATATTGGCACGTAGGTTGATAAATGATCTATAACTTTGTTGAAGAAACCACCTCTGTTTGGATTAAGAATCGAAAGATAGAAAATGGAAAGTACCTTGGAAAAACTAATCGGAAAACCTTGATTTTCTGGTAGGAGGAGAGAGAAGCCGCCGGCGTGCCACGTGTCAACCAACCAGAGGACCGCGAGCGCCAATCACCCCCGGACACGCGTCGAGCGCCGCTTGGGAAAACGCGGCTCCAGCCTCCTTGCGGCACGCGTCCCTGACAACGCCACCCGATACCCGCGCCCGTCAGCCTACCCGATACCCGCACGGCGAGCCAAACCGAACCGACAACCCGCGGTCCACCCGAGCCACTGCGTTCGAACCGAACCCGCGACCCGCGACTGCAAGAAATTCTAGGCGCGTGACACTCGCACGTGGAACCCGCGAGTGGTTGCTCCCCGGCGCGTGGCTGGCGCGTGTAAGCTTATTTTTGGCCCGATCAATTTCTGTTTTCCCAATTTTCCTCCAGATTCAAATCCTAAACCCATTCTGATTGAAATAGGACCAAATTGGAGGAAAATCACCGTCTTTCGATACGTTAAGTGGGTGGAAACGCTGCTTAAGGACACGCGCCATCCATGTAAGTCACCACACGGATTTTTAGGAAGTTTTACTTGTAGGAACCGCTTGGAATGCATGCATGCTAGTCTGAATATCTTAGGTTCTAGTTTTCCGTTAATGATCATAGGAAATAGTTTATTGAACGTTAGATGTATCTTGTGATTTGTTATGAGAGTTACCTGGAGACTGCTGATATGATTTTAGTTTTCGCTGAATTTGCATAGGTATGTTTTCATGCTGAACAGAGGATGGGAAATTGCGAACTTTGCGCTCCGGGAGTTGATGGATGTTAACACCCCGTTGAGCTTGTATGATCACTTTGCATGAAATGCCTTTGAGGATTTTGGATAATAGTTATAACATACTCAGTTAAATTTTCATGACTCGCAATTATGAATAAGTCTAGAGATTCTTAGTTAGAGTAACTAGGTACTAAGGTATTAGATCTAATCTTTTCCCTAGTAGAGCAACAGACCACCACGGCGTAAGAAGCCCACTAGGGTACCCTTAGACTACAGGTGAGTGATTGGTGTCATAGCTTCGTGGGGGAAAAGGGGGGTTCCTGATCAGAATCCGACTATTCTTAGCCGTTTTAGCATGGGAAACGTGTGCCCACGTCGTATAGACCATTTAGCTGGATGGGTTAAGGGGGGTAGCTCTCCCCGACCAGGGGGACTGTCATGGGTCTAGGGGGTTGCAGCTCACTTCCTAGGTAAGTTACCAGATAGTCTCAGAGCCATGCCGAGGTAGCTACTCGTAGGGCACCAGTCACTACACAGGTTAGCTTAAGGGAGTTTTTAAGAATCTTTAAATGAAAGGACAAAGAACCAAGTTGTCGCGAAGGGAAAGTCCTAAGGTCCTAAGACGAAAACTAGAGGTCCTAGAGCTATTGTAGGGTCCGTGGAGGGTGGTTGCTAAGATTAGGATACGGTAAGAGCCTATAAGTAGGTGGCTTACTGAGTATAAATTTTATACTCATTCCTGTTATACCTTTTTTTTTTTCAGGTACGTGAGGCGTCGAGTCTAGAGAGAGCGCGTTGATCGATGTGGGTTGTCGCAGAGGAAGCGCGTCCCGGGGCGTCAGTCTAGTTTACTAAATAGTACACCTTGTCTCTCCTGCTCCTTTCCTTGTTTTTACCTAGGCACATATGTCCTTTTAGTAAAGAAACGTTTTTCTTACAAATAAATGAAATTCTATTGTCGTAAATGTTTTTCTGTGGTTTTCTCGTTTTTGCACCATAATTCATGATGGTCACGGCTTGGAGTTATGTATTTTGGGTCGTGACATCTTCCGTCCAAACTAAAGAATCAAACAATGTTTTCGGTAAAAAAAAATAATAAGAGTGATATTTTAAAAAAAAAATAAAAAATAATATTAAAACTTTTAAAAATTTAAAGATGATATTTTTAATTTACCTAGTATATATTTAGTTAAATTATACAAAATAATCTAAAATTTTAGGTTAATTTCAAGTATGTCTCTAGAAATTTAATTTTGGAATTTGTTCTAAAAACACTTTAAAGTGTTTTTTTTTTTAAATTAAGATAAGATCGAAAATTGATGTTGTGAATAATTTTAAGAACAAAATGATTTGAATGACATTAAAAAATAATAATTTTCATCGTTCTTCGTCTAATAGAGTGATAAAAAGAGGGAACGAAGAAATGAAGGAGAAAGAAAGGAAGAAATGTTTGTTACTGTGTTCATTTGGGAGGCAAATAAACCAAGATCGATCCATTTCACTTCCCGGATTTAATCGTCAACTGGCAATTCAAGGTCATTATTCATGATTGTTGAACCCTATTTTTTCTCGTTTCTTCTACTTCTTTTCTCCGCTTTTGATCCTACTTTCCATGGAGTGACAGATGATGAGTACAGATACTCATGAGAGGATTGTTTTCTGATTCAATCTGATATGTTGGGATTTCGCATGTGTTTTTTGTTTATTAATCTAGAGATATGAGTTGCTATAGAAAATCGAAGTTTGCGATTGATGCCTTTCGGAGCTTGTCTTCGAAGATTTTCCCCAAAGATTCAATTCGTGATTGTGGATCAAGAATTTCCCATAGTAGGAATTCGTTTACGGCTCAATCTGCTTCTCCAATCATACAAAGATTTGGAAGACAAGTTGGAGAGAATCGGAAGCTATGCAATCCTTTTTTAGGTGGTTCGAAGAGATTTTACTATGTCGATCGCTATCGCGTCGAGCATTTTAAGCCCAGAGGACCTCGGCGATGGTTTGAAGATCCGAGGAACTTATTGATAGTTGTGATTGCGGGTTCTGGAGTTTGTGTGACAGTGTATTATGGGAATTTAGAAACCATACCTTATACCAAACGGAGGCATTTTGTGCTGTTATCGAGAGCTATGGAGAGGAGGCTTGGAGAGTCGCAATTTGAGCAAATGAAGGCAGCCTTTAAGGGTAAAATATTGCCTGCTGTACACCCTGAAAGTGTGAGGGTAAGATTGATAGCTAAGGATATAATTGAGGCATTACAAAGAGGGTTGAAGCAAGAGAATGTGTGGAGTGATTTAGGCTATGCATCAGAGGCTGTGATGGGAGCCCCTGAAGGTAGTGGCCATGAGACATTGATGGCGCTTAGGGGTTCTGGGGCTGAGAAGATGGAAGATAAATGGTACCGCGAAGACGAGGTTCTTGATGACAAATGGGTTGAGAGCTCTAGGAAGAAGGGCCAGGAAAAGGGTTCCCAAGCAAATACTTCACATTTGGATGGATTGAACTGGGAGGTTTTGGTGGTGAATGAACCGGTTGTTAATGCATTTTGCTTGCCTGGTGGGAAGATTGTTGTTTTCACTGGCTTGCTCGAGCACTTTAGAAAGGATGCAGAAATTGCAACTATTATTGGTCATGAGGTACGTATACATTATACCATATCGAAACTCAAAGACAGTATCGAAAGAAAGCAAGAGGTTTTTTCTTTCTTTTTTTCGATATCTATAAGATCAAGATTAAGTTGTTTATTGCAAACGATCGATCTATGAATGGTTAGAACATACATAAGACTCAATATTATTAAACTTGAGAATTTTAGAGGAGTATGTTAGGAATCACGAACCTCCACAATGAAATGATATTGTCCACTTTGAGCATAAACTCTCATGACTTTGCTTTTGGTTTTCCCAAAAGGACTCGTACCAATGGAGATGTATTCCTTACTTATAAACTCATGATCAACCCGTTAATTACCCAATGTGGGACTCCTCTCCCAACAATCCTCAACAGAGTATTGTGATACTATATAAATGTTGTGAGTTTGAACTTCAATTGTTTTCTTTTATTCTTCCACCGTATCGAGTCAATGGCAAGTAGGCAACATCTTCTTTTGACATCAATATCCATATGCAAGTTTTCATTTAGCTCACTGCCTCTATGATCATGGGATTATCTTTAAGAATCCTGGATGGGTCTTGTTTTAAGGTCTTGTTTTCGTTAATTAGGTTGGGCATGCTGTGGCTCGACATTCTGCTGAGGGTATTACGAAGAACCTGGGGTTTGCCGTTTTGCAACTTATCCTTTATCAGTTCATCATGCCTGATATTGTCAACACTATGTCAACTCTTTTCTTGAGGCTTCCTTTCTCTAGAAAGTAAGTTCAGAGTTTTTTTTTTCCTTTATAGCTTTCTTGGTTGTATTGATTTAGTATAGTCAATGGTTAGATTTTCTTGTTTCGATTGTTTCAACAGACGTGTATGTACGCGTATAAACATGTCATTTGTCGTTGTCACGCTATCTCTTATTTGTTCAATGAATGTAAATATTGACTTGATTGAACAAAGACTTGATGGGAATGGCTGTTCCAACAATCCTCTAGCATTACCTTCCCTCTGAAGAGCTCGTTTTTCATTTACTTATAATCTCGAGACATCAAATTACCAGGCATCGATCATTCCGAGAGAATTAAAAAGGCCTAGTACATTCCTCATTTTGGTCTTGGTTTTGTATCTATTAAGCATTCTACAAACTATTTTAGTTCAAACATCTGATAATACTTGAAGGGTGATATCTCAGTGATTCCTGAGGATTTTGGATTAGATCAGAGCTTGTGCTATTTTTGCCTTTAGACAGAAGCATTATAGAGAGAGAAGTGTTGCCTGTTCTTCATTATTATCTAAACAGTTCAATTCCCTGAAGTACTCCCATCCATCTACTCATGGGTTAGGTTCACAATCTGATATTTTTGAACATTTTGATGCCTTCAGGATGGAAATGGAAGCAGATTACATTGGTTTGCTTTTGATCGCCTCCGCTGGATATGACCCGAGGGTTGCACCCGCCGTATACGAGACGTTGGGTAAGGTCACTGGTGAGTCTGCACTAAGAGATTATCTCTCTACTCATCCATCTGGAAAGAAGAGGGCACAGTTGCTAGCTCAAGCCAAGGTTATGGAGGAAGCTCTCACTGTTTACAGAGAAGCAAGAGCCGGACATGGGGTTGAAGGCTTCCTATAAGACTCCCAAAACTGCGCTAGAAACTTTGAAATAAGTTCATATGGATTGGAAAGAGAATGGCTTCTCTCCTCCATTGTACTGTTTTTTAGCAATGGCAGTATTGTTCTGTTAAAGCATGATATCAAATTGTAATTCATTGATTTCAACCATGATCAAAATGTTTTAGTGAATTTTGGGTATTAATTTGCTTTGGACTCCTCCCTTGGAAACCCCTTCAAACGCCTTCTAGGTTGAAACATAACGATTCTGGCCACTCGATGAGGAAGGTCTGCGGACGAGTGACAACCTTCATCGACTAGCGACAACCATTGACAATCATGTAACGGTCCAAGTCCACCGTTAGCAGATATTGTCCTCTTTGGACTTTCCTTTTTAGATTTCTTCTCAAGGTTTTTAAAACGCCAGCTAGGAAAAGGTTTCTTTAGGCCTTCCCTTTTAAGTTTCGTCTCAAAGTTTTTAAAACGTGTCTGCTATGGAAAGGTTTCCACACCTTTATAAAAAGTGTTTCGTTCTACTCCCTAACCAATGTAGGAAAAGGTTTCTTTAGGCTTTCCTTTTTAAACTTCTCTTAACCCAATGTTGGAAAAGGTTTCCTTTCCTTTTTTTGGAAAAGGTTTCCTTTCCTTTTTAAACTTCCTCTTAACCCAACGTTGGAAAAGGTTTCTTTAGGCTTTCCTTTTTAAACTTCCTCTTAAACCAATGTAGGAAAATGTTTCTTTAGGCTTTCCTTTTTAAACTTCCTCTAAAAGGTTTTTAAAACACTATGTTAGGTAAAGGTTTTCACACAAAAATGGTGTTTCGTTCTACTCCCTGGCTCCAGCGGGAGGCCCACACGACGGACTATCACAAATCGTCGACACAAGGTTTTCACACAATAAAGGGTGTTTCGTTCTACTTTCTGACCAATGTAGGAAATCACAAATCGTCGACACAAAAGGTTTTCACAGAATAAAGGGTGTTTCGTTCTACTCCTTGACCAACGTAGGATATCACAAATTATCTCCAGTGCCAACGACAGTCGACAAGTCTTTACTACCAACAGCACCTCCAACAACTATTTCTAGTGGGATTGGTCACATCGGTGGACCGATCATAGCATTAATTTTCATTACAAACTCAAACTTATCGGTTCATACTGTTTTCCTTTTCTTTCTTTTTTTTTCTTTTTTGGTAGTCAACGTTGAAAGTTGGTGTACTTGATTACATTGATTGCCAACCAGTTTACATTTCTACGAATCTTTGTACAGAGAAATTATTTGTGAATTATGAGAAAGAGAAATTTTGTGGAGTCAACGGAGAAAGTTGATAATTGCAGAGAGGGAGATTTGAAGGTCGGGGAGGCTGAACTAAGGAGCAGGCGGATAGCAATAGGTCGGACAGAGAGTATGGAATTCAAATGGACAGATTTATAGAGAAGAGTGTCAAAAAGGCATTAACTATGGATAAGGTGGGGAGATGGATAAAAGAGAGAGCATTAAGTATGTATGAAGATAAATATAAAATAAAAGTGATCTTTCTCCTTTATGGCTCAACGATCTCTCTTCCTTTTACCAACTCCATTTAATACAACACTGTAATTCATTTACTATATATATATAAAAACACTGTAAGAGTGTTCTTTACCTCCAAAACCGATGGAATCGTCTCCCAAGGTCAGCCATGGCGGCATTGCCCTCCAATCCGCTCAATTAATGACTCGCCTACGCTTGACATTCTTCCAACTAAAACAGTTTTTCATTCTCACCCTTCTCATTTCCATTGAAGCTCATATTTTCTTAAAAGGATGGAATCCCATGTTCCATATCTTCTTCCTTTTCTCTTGTTTTGTTGTCTATGTGATTCTCAGGCGATTCTTCTTGAATGCTCCTCGTTCTGTCTATTTGGTTGACTTCTCGTGTCTTAGACCACCAAGCTTCCTCAGAGTTCCCTTTGCCACCTTCCTTGAAAATGCTACTTCGATGGATGTTTTTGACAGCGAGAGTCTCAGTTTCATGGCCAAAACTCTCAAATCTTCTGGACAGAGTGAAGAAACATGTCTCCCTCCAGCCCTGCATTTCATTCCACCCAAAACCCATCAACAGGAATCCATTAATGAAGTCCATATGGTGCTATTTCCTGTCATGGACGATCTTTTAACCAAAACCCATCTCTCTCCTCATGACATTGATATTCTCATCGTTAACTGCAGTGGCTTTTGTCCTTCTCCTTCCCTCTCCTCCATAATCATCAACAGATACTGCATGAGAAGCGATATTAAGAGCTTCAATCTCTCTGGAATGGGGTGCAGTGCAAGTGCTGTGGCCATTCATTTAGCTGAAAATCTACTTCAGGTCCACGAGAACTCAAATGCCGTAGTGCTAAGCACTGAAATTCTATCAAACGGTTGGTATGCGGGAAAGGAACCCTCCAGATTAATTCTGAACTGCTACTTCCGCATGGGCGGTGCAGCTATTCTGCTCACCAACAGAAAAGAGGCGAAAGATTATTCAAAATACAAACTATTCAAATCACTTCGAACCCTGACATCCTTCGACGATAAGAGTTATCTTTCAGCCATGCGGGAAGAGGATAATGACGGAAAACTCGGGGTCTCTGTGACGCGAGACACGCTACAGGTTTTCCCAGAAACTCTCCGGATAAACATAACCCTTCTTGGTTCATCAATCCTGCCATTATCAGAGAAACTAAAACACGTGGTTTCGAGGCTACGGAAGCGATTCTTGGACAAATCCCAAGAAATTTACATACCCAATTTCAAGACAGTGATCAATCATTTTTGCTTGCCGGTATCAGGGGGTACAGTGATAAGGGCGATCGGGAAAGTGCTGAAGCTCAACGATAAAGACTTGGAAGCGCCATTGATGACTCTGCATAGATTTGGGAACCAGTCTTCCTCTGCATTGTGGTATGAACTTGCGTACTTCGAAGCAAAAGAA